AAAAACCTGAAGGAGGGCAGCACTGGGGCCGTGGGCAGCAGGAGTTGGTAGGTAACATCTTTAGACATACCCAGAGCTGGCAGGTAGCGTCTTTAGACATTCCCATCTTTAGGAAACACAGAAAACCTGGTACATCATCCTCCATATCCAGGGAAGGGCCACCATCTGATCCAGCTGGTGGCATCTCTGAGAGACTGGGCTCTTCACCAGGAATCCTCAGACTACCTTAAGTAGAGAAAGGATTGTCCCTCAAAGTAAAGCTGGACTGACCTGCTAGCTGGAAGGGGACTCAATATTGAGCATTAAGTAGCACATGTTGCTACTAGGGAGTATTATAATCTGGATAAGAGGAAGGCTGGGCATTGAGAAGGAATAGCTAGAATATTTCAAATCTCTATTATTTTGGAAATAAACCTTCAGAAACCAAAGCTCAAAACATTCTTCTTTGGGTGGTTGGGACCAAAGAAGAAAAAATTAGAGGGAGAAAAAATTACTTGAGAAAAAATTAGAGGGAGCCTCATTCTAACAAGGTGAGTGTTCAAGTCCCCTGGAAGTGGGCCCTGCATGTCAGATGCTTGAAGCAGTCTGCAGCTGGGATCCTGGACAAGGATTCTAGGACTCAGACCCTGCAAAACGAAGGCTACAGATATTTTTGAGAGATACTAACTTGGCCATGTGGCTAGAGAAAAGGAAGGAAGTAGCAGTAGACCGGTCAAAACTAAGACAAGAAAAATGTGTTCTTGGCCAAACAGAGTCCTCTTTATGATAATAATGTTTGAAACCCTGCATTCTTCAAGAAGATTTTGTGGCATCTTTTTATAAGTAAGACCAGATCAATCTGATACTCAAAGCAAAGAAAGTGAAAAAAACTCACTGATAAAAATCTAAGTAAAAAAAAAAAAGTGGAGGAAACAGTCACATGTGGTGGTGTATGCCTTTAATTACAGCACTTGGGAAGCAGAGGCAGGTGGAGCTCTGTGAGATCGAGGCCAGCCTGGTCTACATAGTCAGTTCCAGGCCAGCTGTGGCTACAGGGAGACCGTGTCTCAAAAATATCAAAATCAAGGGCTGGAGAGATGGCTCTGCAGTTAAAAGCACTAGTTGTTCTTACAGAGGACCAGGATTGACTCCCAGCACTCACATGGCAGTTAATAACCATCTGTAACTCCACTTCCAGGGGAATTTGATGCCTTCTGACCTCTGTGGGCATTGCACAAGGGTGCACTTACACACATGCAGATAATATAGTCATACACACAATAATAAATAAAATATTAAAAGTGTCTATCAAAAAAACCCAAAAAAGTAGGGGAAACAAGTTAACAGAAGCTGCTAAAATAGGCCATAAACATTATCTCTGAGCTTTCTGGCAGCAGAGCAGAGAAAGAGACCAAGAGAACCACCTTTCTTTTAGCTTAAGCACGCTGTCTCAGGGTCCTCATCCATAGGACACTGCGCAGCAGTGTGAACTGGGGTTCTGGCAGTACTTTATGCAAAGATGCTGGGCAGGGCTGTTTGCAGTTTGACTCCTAATCTTAGATGGGGGCATAATATTGGGTGCTTTCTGTGAACAGGTTTTCCAGAGGCAGTTTTGGTTTTGCTCTTGTTGGTTGAAGCAGAATAGCACAGATTCTGGAATCAGGCAGCCAGGCATTAGCTGTGTGACCCTAGATAATTACATAACCTCTCTTTCTCTGTGCATGCATGTTGACATGTGTAGGCACATATATGTCTGTGTGTGGAGGCCAGAGTCTGACACTGGAAGTCTTCCTTGATCATTCTCCAGGTTATTCATTGAGGTAGGGTCTCTCCATTGAACAGAGCTTGTGAACACAGCTAGTCTGGCCTGCCAGCTTGCTCCAGGATTGCCTGTCTCCACCTTCTAAACACAGTGAGCTTACAAGTAGGCTGCTACACCTAACCTGCATTTACATTGTTTCTGGGGATCTGAACTTCAGTCTTACACTTGCATGGCCAGCGCTTTGACCACCGAGCCGTCTCCCCACCCTATGTGCAATAATTTCGAAACTAATCCTGAAGACGGGAAGGGCAGAGGGAGCATGAAAGGTTAGACCTAGTGGAATTCAGTTTTGCCATTTCCACTTTTTGGAACGCACGGGTAGAGAGCATTGTGGAGGGAGGGAAGCAAGCTCTATCATCATCATTAACCAACACCCAAGTCTGTGGCAGCCTGTAGTTATCTTCTGGAGCTCTCCAACCCTCTAGGTATGGAAGCCACATCTGTGGGTGATTGAGCCACACTTTCTTCCCCCAGGGCAGGGCAGGTGCCTTTGGATCTGCCTCTGCAGGGCTGTGCACAGTGAGGGGGACAGAGCATCTGATCATCTACTAAGCAATTAATGAGCACATAGCATGTTCCAGGCAGTATGCCAGTCTTTCACATGCCATGTGAGCAGGATAGGTGCCCTTCTCTGTCCTCAGGGAAGCTATATTCCAGCAGGAAAAACCATACCCATCAAAGAGTTATTCCCATAAAAATAAAACTCCACCTCCATAAATACAAAAGTGGAGTTTGAGAGGAGCTGGGGCACAGGGAAGAGGGATTTGGCCCAGCTGGAGTAGGCATGGTGCTTTCCCAGAGGAATTAAGGATTGAGTTCGGAGCTGGGGGAAGAGAAGGTACCTAGGGAAGAAAAGTATTATTAGAGAACAAGGCAGGTGGGCAGACCACCTGAGCAGGGAGGATTCCAGTCATGGGAAAAACAGGGAAGTTTCAGGGGAGACCGTGAGAGCTCCCAGAACTGCAGGGAGGTGAGGAGGCACAGGGCAGTCAAGAGATTTGCTTGAGTCCACAGAAGTCACTGAAGGACAGGAGTCTGCTGGATGTCCCCTGATAAGGCACCTGGGTCATTTCCAATGGGACAGTGCATGGTAGACAGCCTTCGTGGATGTCAGGTGCCTCCTTTGAGAGAATGTCACTGCTCATGGCTCCAGGCAGTATGTGGTTAAGCAGGATGGGGGAAGCCTGACCTCCAGCCTCTGACTAAATGGGAGTAGAAGGAAGACAACCTCCAAGTCTGAGCTTACCAGCCTTCATTCACCTGCACCCCAGGGCTGGTCATCCTGAGGCCTGGAGAGGAGATCTTGCTTTGAGCAGGTCCCAACAGGGCAACCGTGGGTACCAAAAAGGACCCTGAGATTAAAAGGCCCATGAGATGCCAGTGCATATCTGGCTCACACTGCAGAGGTTTATGACAGTGACTAACCCAGTCAGCTGCCTCATGAGGCCTGTCAAGTCTGAACCAAGAGTCAGGGGACTCCTCAGGGCTCAGGTTTCAAGATATGAAAGGATGAGTGGAGAAAATGCTCCACTTCAAGATGCCCCCAAGTTCTTTGGTTTAGCAGTGGAGGATTCTGCTCCAGTCACACACCCAGCCTGCCTCCCACTCCCTATTAAGAGTGGACCATACACTTGGCTCAGAAGGTTTGTGTCCTTGTGGAAACAACCCCTTCCTAGTGAGCAGTGTCACAAAAGACCCAGGTAGAGATGAGTGTGTATACATATCTGTCTGGCCGTCTGTCTGTTCTGCAGAAGTTCAACTTCTTCCTCTTTCCCAGGCCCACTGACAGAGCTAGGACTCCACCTACCCCTTTCCTTTATGAATCTGCAGGCTCCCCACACCTGCTGCACTCTCTTAGGGTCACCTCCCCATTCCGACTGCAGAGAAGGACTCATCCTCCTGGATCTTCCTTTCTCAGGGACCCTTAATTCCAGTAAATAACTGTCTTTGCATTTTAAGGATTTTCTGATGGGAAACAGATGGGGGTGACAAAATCATGGAAATGTGTGAATCATCTAAAAAAATATTTCAAAGTTTTGCCAACCAACCGCAGTGTGATTCCCAGTACCTCCTGATGTGGCCATGACAGTTAAGTGCCACCCCCCAATCCGCCAATTTTCTGCCCTGATTTCATTGGCACCTTCTTGCTTTGCCTTAAATATCTCACACCTTTACATCACACTACCACTAATTAGAATGAATGCTATTTCCTGTGATAGTTCCAGCACTTTATATGGCTCTCTCTCACACTCTTTGTGAGACCCTAGAACCCAGTTCCTGTTTTCTACATGATGCAGATGAGGAAACTGAGATTGGGAAGTTAAATATCTAGACTCATGCTTTCCAATGCTGAGGATTCCATTTCATTGACGTTAAATAAAAGTTCATTAGTCATAGTAGATAGATTTCAAGTGTTCAGTAAATCACACAGACTTAGTGGCTACCATATTGGACAGCACAGACTCCATCCTCACAGGGCATCTTGTGGGTTGTGCTAGGGTAGACCGAACAAGCCAGTACATGAAGCAGGGTTCAAACTCTCAGCTATCCAGTGCCACGCCTATGCGTGCTGCTTTGTTTTCCACAAAGGCCCCTAATTCCAGCATGTCCATTTGAAAGTGACCCCAGGGGATCCTAGACCACCTGTATACCTCTGGGTTGGTCCTTGCCCCTGATGGTGTGAGAAGAGCAGGCCTGTCTGGTCCTGTCCCTGAGCTCTGGGATCTGAGCTATAAGCACATGGGTCTGTTTCTCCCAGAGTAGGTCTCTGATGTTTATTCTCCTCTTCACCTCAGGTGCATGGTTCTGTATCTGCCCTGCAGAGGTTTGCAGGACACTTGTGGGTAAACTCCAGAACAAAACAAATGTATGAAGCCCCAGGTGGGGCAACTAAGCAGAACCCCTCTTTACCTTAGGTCTGTCTCCCCTGCCCAGTGGGCTCAAGGCCCTTCAGGATTATTTGGGATGGTTCTGACTTGGCCCAGTTTCTTGATTCCTGGTCAGCCTTCACATTTGAGTGCTTAGAGAAAGAACAAAGGTGGAGACTGGTGGGAGAATTCCATAGACAGGATGGGATGAAAGGAGTCAGGCACACGCCTTCCCTGGGACTGTGGTTGGGAGGGGTCTGTGAAAATAATGAGGACAGATAACTACCCGGTGCTGCTGACAGCACCAGTTTTATAAAGGCCCCCGATAAGGAGCTGACAGCAGGAGAGGGGGCTGTGACTGTGACGTTCCTGAAGCTCTCAGTAGGACCTGGACTTTCTCAGTCCATGGGAATCTGATACACACAAGCCTTCCAACTACCTGAAAGTCACTCCCACACTCTGCTTCCCCCACCTGCTGTCTATCAGTTCCTGTCACTGGTGGAGCACTGGATAGCAGCTTAACCTGGAGACAAGGCCCTGACAGCTGCATGCATCATTTGCCACACAGGCCTCCAACCATGTGCCCAGGGCTGTTTAAGCACATTCTGTGGATTAATTGACTTAATGATCTAGCTGCCTTTGGGGATATGAACTGTTTTTTGTTTTTTTTTTTGTTTGTTTGTTTTTTTTATTTCTGCTTCATAGAATAAAGGCCTGAGGTTTAGGGGACTTCAATCTCAGGCTTGAGGACTCCACTGAAAACTGAGTCACACAGCCTTGTTTAGAGCTATGTGGAAAATGTCCTGAGCAGAGGAAGCCAGGTCGATGGAAGCTTTTAGACTCAGGTAGCAAAGGCCCTAGGGAGACAGGACAGGCTGGCCTAGCTGGATCAGAAGGGGATGTGTGGGTGTGACAAGGATGAGTCTACCAAGAGCTGGAGTGTCTGCTCCATCGACCTTGGACTGCTAGATAGAGACAGGGCTTCTAGTGCAATGGAGCCAGTGGCTCAGTTCCCTCAACATGCCCAGCCCTCTGGGGACATCTTCTGGGAAGCCACCTCTATGTTGTACCTCTCAGGACCCAACAGAATGCTATATCACTTGCCTTGAAGACAGAGGCACATTGTAGTAAACAGGTTCTTTGTGAAGGTACTTTATAAAATGCCTGCTGCTGTTCATATCTTCATTGTCCCCCAACGGCCCATGTGTGACAACTGGGTCCTCGGTTCAGCACCATCAGAAGGTGGTAGAACCAAACAGACAACTTTGGGGGGCCTTTGGGGGATGTTCTCAAAGAGGATTGTGGGACTGGTTTTTTCCTTTCTGTCTTATTCCTGGTCAGGAAGCAAATGAGCTTCCCCTGCCATGTGCTATCACCATGCTACATTGTGTAACCAGGAGTCCAAGCAACATGGCCAGTGGGTCACAGCCTGAAACCTCTGAAACAGTAAACCTTTCTTCTTTCTAAGTTTATTTATCTAAGGTATTGTTATAGTAACAGCTAACTAATACTATGTCTGAGATTTTTAAAGACTCCGTAGTAGGCTGAATAATGGCCCCCATACAGACCTATATCCTGATCATCAGTCCCTGTGAAATTGCCTCACATAGCAAAAGGGATTTCCAGCTGTGACTGGATTCAGGCTTTGGAGATGGAAGATTGTCCTGGGTTAAGTGGGAGGACCCAATGTAATTACAAAGGTCCTCAGAAAAGTGGAATGAAAGAAGGTCAGAGAAAAGAAAGTGATGGGATGATAGAGCAGGCGGAGTGATAGATGTGGAAGATGAAGGTGGGGTGAGCCGGAGTGCAGGTGGCCACTGGAATCTGGAAAGCACCAGGAGCAGATTCTCGCATGGCACCTCTTCAAGCGAGCAGCCCTGTCGACACCTTGACTGGCCCCAGAAGATTCATTTCAGACTTGAAATCTGGGACCATAAAAAAAAAAAAAAGGATAAATAAACCTGTGGTAATCTGTTACAACTGCAATAGGAAACACACCAGCTTGCCTGGAGATACTTCTCAGCTTCAAAATGCACAATTTCATGTCTTGAACTAAATTGCTTCAAAGAAACCACTATCTTACTGAGTCTGTGGAATTCTAAAACCATGGGTTTTCTTAGCAATACTGCCGGCTCCTGGGGTATGTGCCAGGTGAAGGGCAGGGCGGGGGTCCCCTCTATCTGTGGATGAGAAAGAAGAGAAAGGTCACTATGGTGTTGCTAATTTTAGCCACAGCCTTCACATGTGGGCACTAGTATGTCAGAGCAAAGGCAAGGGCTCCTTTGCTCAAGTCCAGGCCAGAGCTAAAGCCAAGAAGTATAGGTACTCCCAGCTTGGGGCTGGGAGTCCATGTGGGAGATTAGTACTCTTTGTAATTGCCTCTTTAGGTGGAAGACAGTGTCCACAAGCCTAGTCAGCAATCTTAGTGATGAGCCACTATTAGAGCCAGAGACTTTATTCCAGAAAAGAATTAGGAATTGCTGCAAAGGCAGAATTTGGGGCTGCAAATCAAAGACAGCTCCAGAGTTGGAACGTGTATCACCCTGTGCCTGTCTTAGGTGCATTTTCCATAAATGAAGGGAGATGGAAAGGAGACACAAAGGGCATTTAGCAAGAGAGCAGATGGGGTAGTAGTTGAGGGGGATGCAAGGGGAGGTACAGAATACAGGTTCAAGGACTCAAGCCACAGCAGGAAAGAGACTGGGGTGTGTGTGGAAGGCCTGCCTGGAGACATTTGAGGTCAGAGCATAAGCAACCCAGATGAGGGGAGAAAGGAGAGGCCTGGAAAGGGAGACTTATTGGAGTCAAGAGCCTTCAGAATGTGGGGCAGGGTGGAGCTGGGATCCAGGGCACAAGGAGAGTGACTTCTCCTCTGAGGGAGGCAGGGATGAAGTCAGCACAGAGTGGGGTTCCAGCTCTTCCACACGGCTCCATGTGGTGCTACTAAGGCACACATGCAGGGCCACAGCAGTGGGTGTTAGAGCCTCAGCCTGCTTTTTCTTCTAGAGCACAAGGATGTGGGTGTGTCCTCCATTTGGCTGCTAAGATCAGAGCATGGGTTTCCCCTGCTCCAAAGTAGGGCACTGAAAGGAAGAGGTTTGCTTTATCCTAAGAATCAGCTGAAAGACCTCTAGGGCTGACTTCTAAGACCTGACTTTTCTCTTGCTGCTCTGCCATCTCTTAGTATGACTCTCCTCTGCTGGGTAAGGTTGGCCATCAGGCTGGAGAGCAAGAGGGACAACCAAAGGTTACACCTGTGGTGACACCTCATGGTAGGGAGGCAGGGAAGCATAGGTTCATTTGGCAACCATGTGTCAACTAAAACATGTAAGAGCCTAGCTCTGAAAACCAGAAGGGACAGTATCAGGGGACAGCTGGCCTATGTGCCCTTTTCTTAGTACCTGAGCACAAGTAGCTATGAGCTGTGGCTCTTCCTCCAGTCATGTGACTTCACCCTCCTGAGCTTTGTTCTTCTGTTACTTGGAACCCAGGGCCAGAGGGCCTGCCCTGTGAGCTACAACCATGGGAGCACCCGGCAGGGGCTGGAACACGGTGGGTGTGCTGCACTGCAGTTTCCCACATTCTCATCTCCCCTGCCCTAGGAAAACCACAGTACCTGCACGTTGGGGAAGAGATCGATGGTGTGGACATGCGGGCTGAGGTCGGGCTTCTGAGCAGGAACATCATGGTGATGGGGGAGATGGAGGGCCAATGCTACCCCTACAGCAGCCACATCTGTGACTTCTTTGACTTCGACACCTTTGGGGGCCACATCAAGGTATGGGTCTACCTAGCTGAGTTTCCACCTGTGGGCAGAGACTCAGAGGAGGGAAGGGGATGGAGAACAAAAGGTAGGGCAAGAGAAGTGCACCCTGGGAAAGAAGTCTCCTAGTCCACTGGTAGGTAGTTGCCCCTGTCAGAGATGATGCAGTCAGCTAGGGAACAGCTGTCTATTTAAGGTCACGAGGAACACTGCCTTCTGCTTCATTGTTTCCACCCTATCTTTGCTATTTATCCCTGATCATCCTCTCTCCCTCCCCCCTTCCCTCCCTCCCTCCTTTTTGCTGTTGTTTTTGAGACAAGCTTTCTCTATGCAGCTTAGTCTATAGGTCTTCCTGCCTCAGCCTCTCAAGGTCTGAGATGAGAGATGTGTACCATCGTGCCCACCTTCCTGATAACTTCTTAAAGAGTGCACACTTAATACACCACACATACACACACACACACACACACACACACACACACACACAAAATCCTGCTGACCACAGATCCATTTTAATATAGACAAAACAATCAGCAGGGGAAAGCAAGCAGAGGTTGCAGCATTGAACTTACCTGGGATTTCCTGGCAGAGTCGTGGAAAACAGCCACACTAAGCAGTGGGTGTGTCAAAGTGATAAAGAAGCAATCCTGCCTCATCGTAGTTTGCGTTCTCCTAGGATCCAGCTCAAAAAGGGATTTTGTTTGTTTTGTCTCTTTGAGACAGGGTCTCCCTGTAGCCCCAGCTGTCCTGGAACTCACTATGTAGACCAGGCTGGCCTTGAACTCACAGAGATCCCCCTGCCTCTGCCTCCCAAGTGCCGGGATCAAAAGTGTGCGTCACCATGCCCAGGTCAAAGAGGATTTTTTAAAATCTAAAATCTCTATACAAAATGCTTTTGTCCAGCCTGGTAAATAATCCAAGAGGCACAGAAGTCCCGGAAGGTTCTTCCTGTAGTCTCTGGCTTCATGCCAAGGGCACTCTAATGCATTTTGTGGAGAGTTCTCTTGAGGCCCAAACCATGTGCCCAAAGGATAATTCTTTTTAATAATCTAACTGAAGAGGCTAATGGAGGGAAACAGTTCACAATGGGAGTTCTGCTGGCATTTTAAGTGAGGCAAGATTTTGTGGTACAGGCCTGTGTCCTAGGACTTGTCCAATCTCTGGATTCTGGCATGCTGGGACTGAGCAGTGTCCCTGAACATAACCAGGGGCAACTCTGGGTTGCTGTGACCAAGCACTTGGGGTGGCCACAACTTACACACATGTCACCAGAGCAGAGGCTTGTGACATCACCAGGGTCAGCATCCTCTTCCTTCCCCTGGATGTTTCATATAGTGAACATCCCGAAGTCTTCCTTAACCTCCGTGTGCTCGGTGTGGCTCTGTTTTCCATGACTCTGCCAGGAAATCCTAGGTAAGTTCAATGCTGCAACCTCTACTTTCTCTCCCCTACTGCTGCCACCCCACCCCCACCTCAGGGTATCTCTGGATTATCCATCCCTTCCTCATAATACTTGGAGGCTATAGAGGTTTTAAAACAAGCCCATCAATTGTCCTGGGGATCTTCCATCCAATCAGTCAGTATCTTGTAGCATCCTGTCTTAATAAAATCTTGCTTGCCTTCCTTGGTCTGAGAAGGACCCGGCATTCTAGGTCATGAGCACAGAACTTCTCCGATGTATTGAGTCCCAAGAGGTCCTCAGTACAGCTCAGTGATGAAGCACTGGGAGGGTAACACCTCTGTACTTTGGGGATGTGGGCATCAGCTGGGGGAATCAGGAGGCACTTCAGGGCTCCTTTTGACTCTCATTCTCCTCTTCCAGTTTGCATTGGGGTTTAAAGCAGTCCACTTGGAGGGTGTGGAGCTGAAGCACATGGGACAGCAACTTGTGGGCCAGTATCCAATTCATTTCCACCTGGCTGGAGATTTGGATGAACTGGGAGGCTACAATCCACCCACGTACATCAGGGACCTCTCCATCCACCACACGTTCTCCCGCTGTGTCACCGTCCACGGCTCCAATGGCCTGTTGGTAAGTGTCTGCCAGAAAACCATCCTAGCTAGACTCAGGCCACGGTGGTGGTGAGGGCATGGATAGGAAGGGTATTGTATTTATACACTCAGGCCAAGGGACAAAAGTTGCATGGGGTTGGTCCATCCTTGGCTCAGATTTTAGGAAGGTATCAGCTGATCTCAAGTCACCACACTGCAGTGATCTATAATTGGTTCACAGTGAGTGCTCATTAGAGTGGTGTGACATCCAGGAAAGATTCTATGGCCACTCAGCATGACAGACCTGCTAAGGCCAACCAGGGGGTCATGCCAAGACTCGGGCCATGGTACATGCCAGACAGACTAGCAGCACTGGCCACAGGCCTTCTCCTTCTGCTTCACTAAGAATTCCCTGAGAGCAGATGCTCTAGGCTAGGAAGAAATGTCTCCACCAGCCAACCGCTGGTGCTGGTGCCAAGGGCTTGTCTTGATTTTACAGCTAATTTTCATTCAACATCCCCCTAAAAGAAACCTAAACCTGTATCCTTTATGAAATTAAAAACTCGTTCGAACAATAAGCTACCTTAAAGCTAAATCCAGTCACCAGGTGTTTTGTTTGGCTTACACAGTATTGAGAGAAATATTTAATGTTTTTACACAAAACTGATAATTTTGCACTAAACTAGGCTTTCTTAAACAAGCTAAACTTTTGCTATAAGCTTTAAAATTGTAGATCACTGAAATCGAGGTTACTCTGAAGTGGAATCCAACCACCAGATCAGCTTTGTTTAGCTTAAATGGTGCTAAAAATGTTGGAATTTACTTCCATCATTTAAAGAGTAAGACTGCATAAAACAAGCTGAGTGCCTGGCTGCTCTTGAAAAGTAGAATGAACTGCTCCACACCTGCCTTCTTTGGGGAGCAGCATGGATTGTAGGAGAGTCATGACTGCCCCAGGTGGGCCAGCTTGAGTTCTTCAGCATACACTAAACCCACCATTTCTATTAATTACTGTCACTGCCCAGTCTGTCATTATATCTTCCTTCCTGCTGGCTCCTGTGGACAGTGGAACTTGTGACCCTTGCTTATACTAGGCAGAATGAGGCCCACTACCAGGTATATGGAGGTGGCAGGAAGATGAGGAACTGTTGCTTATCATCAAAAAGTCACTGTTCACCATCTTCTTCAGTTATAAATGAATGCCCATCGTCTCTGTGTCTTAAACACTCTCATTCAAAACCTCCCACTGCATAGAGCAAAGAAAGGAAGAGTTGGGGCGTGCAGTCTAGGAAGACCTGGGCTCGAGAACTTGGCCCATGAGCTGTAAGCTCGGACACATTGCTTCACCTCTTCAAACCTCAGTTTCTGGGGTGCCATGACATCAGACATATGAGTCTGTGGTGAGACTCAGTGAGCAACTCAGTCCCCTATCCACTGGGTTCATGTGGGAGTGCTGGTTCCAGATCATGCAGCTTCCCCAGCAGATGATGGTAGGGCTGTGCTGGAGATGGTACTATAAAGTATAGGATTTTCATATAGCTTAAGGATGAAACAGAAAAGAATGTTTTATGGCTGAAGCTGAAAGACACAATTTATTGACAATTTTAAGACAAAAGTATTTTAGGGGAGCTGAGGATATGGCTCAGGTGGTAAAGCACTTGCCTAGTGTGCATGAAGGAGGATTTCCAGCACCACATAAAACTGGGCATGGTGGCACACTTCTAATCCCAGAAGGTGGAGACAGGAGAATGAGGAATTCAATGCCAGGCTACGCTACATGGTGAGTTCAAGGCTGATCTGGGTTACATGAGACCCTGTCTCAAAAAACAAATAGGCAACAAAACCAAACTAAACATAAACGGCATAAATGTATTACAAATTATGATTTATAATAAATACAGTAAGTCAGGGTGCAGTGCAGCACTAGGCTTGGGGTCTGTAGTCAGATACGCTGGCTCTGATCTGCGCTGCCACCAACCAGCCCTGTGACCTTATAGTGGTCATTGTGTCTCTTCACACTTCTGTAAATGGAAAGACTCTTGTTTCCAGAACTGAAAATCAAAGTGTGTGGAGAGTAGAGAGTGCAGTGTCTGGTCCACTTGATCCTGAGCAGGCTCAGGGTCCCTGCAGTTGGCAGAACAGATGCAGTGAACACAGTCATGGGATGGGCTGCTCTTTCAGGCTGGGGATGAAGGCCAGAATTAATCATGAGAACACAGAACTACTTACAAAAGTTATCAAGCTGCCTGACTCGCGGGGTCTCAGTACCTATACTATAATTTTGTCCTTAAACTTGACTTAAATTCACCTGCATTTAACTTCACAGATAGATTACTGGAAGCCTAGAATTACAGAGCTAGGTTAGTATGAGTGGAAGCTGCTCTGAATCTTGGGACAATCATATCCTCCATGGGAACACATACAAATTCACATACATCACACATCTATGGTATGCTCTTGTGCTGTTCTTTTTACCTGCTTGAGTGAACGAACTTGGATGAACTGAATGAGTCAGTTTCCTCCTGTGAGCCCTGCAGAACACAATGCTACCTTTCAGTTTGCTTGGTTAGAGGACATAAGTAAAATGTTCCTGGCTATATTATCATAGCAAACCTTCCTCAGAGCCAGGGAGTCCAGGTCTCTCCATAGAACAGGTTTACATGGGGGAAGCTGGACAGATATGCTGAGAGTACAGCCAAGAGGCATCAGGCATGCGGGGTATCTACCAGGGCAGCATGAAGAGCAAGCATTTCAGTGAAATGCAGGCTTGGGGAGCTGGCACAGACCTGTCCCCAGGAGTCTGTGGTAATTAATGCAGGTAAATGAGGTCATCAAGAGATGTGTGGGCAAGAGGGAAGGCAGCAAAACCAGCTAGATGTGTGAATGGCACCCACAGTACAGACAAGCTCTAAGAGTTAAACCCTCAACAATTTTTCCAAGCCAGGAGATCCCTACTACCCTGTATGCCAAGACTTCCTCCTGTCCAGTGCCACGGAATACCAGCTGCCAGACTGGGAGGGAGCATCGCTTAGCTCCCTTGGTGTCATCCACATACCACATGATTGAGGTGCCAGCTACAGCCTTATCTGATGGCCACACAAGGCTCTAGCATCACTTAGCTCCAGACAGTACTTGCTGGCCAAACTGTTGCTGCATAACTGAAAACACAACCTTGCTGTAGCCTTTCCAAGATGGGACCAAATTACATGACTTACAGTCTAGATGATGCTGAAGCCTCTAGCTCTCCTTGCTGAGTGGGCAGCAGCAAGGCCATCCCCCAGACAATAGTACAGTTTTGTGGATTGGCACTGCACCCTGGGAATGCTCTGGGACTACAGAACTACACATTCTCCAGAATGCTGCTATGGGAGCTGGTCTTTGCAACTTGCTGTCTTGTTTGGCTTGGAGGATTTACTGGTGGGTGACCACTAGTGTTTAGAAAGGTGTTTTCAGCTGATAGGACCAAAAGAGGCCAGCCATATACAAAGATGCCATTCTGATTTAGACTGCAGAGACCATGGTAGTTCGGGGGTGTTCTAGAAGCCTTTTTGCTAAGGCTGGTCAGAGGTGGGTAGATCCCTGTCTCATTTTTCCAGTGAGACAGACAGGCTCACTGGAAAAATGGGCTCCTAGCTGTGTGGAGCTGGGAGGTGCCTCAGTGCCCTCCTTCACAGATCCTCCCTCCCTGGCCTGTGTGTACCTGTTCTGGTGCCCTCCATCTTTGGAAGCCAGCGTCCCTCATCTCCACCCCGCCTTAGGCAGCTGACCTCACTCGCTACTCACGTTCATTCTTTACCACCAACTTTTGCAGAGTGGTCAGAAATCAACATTCTACCAATTCTCACTTCTGCCTCTTCTCCTGATGAAGGTACAGGCTTCTCAACTCCTGTTCTCTCTGAGTTTTGAGGATGACTCACAGTGATGCCACTCCAAAATGCCACACTGAGTTTAGCCAACCCACTGTTCTCCACCCACCCCGTGTGTTTCTTTGCTCTTACCCTGCATCAGTGTGGCAGATCTCAGCAGAAGCTCAAAAGTCCAAAGTCGAGTGTCAGAGTCTAATGGAAACTTCCTGGGTCTCAGTTTCCTCCATGGAAGTGAAAATGTTGATAAAGTCAACTTCAAAGCGTTCTTAGGAAGATGATAGCAGATTAACAGTGACAAGCTCTAGAGGAAATTAAATAGCACTAGCCTGTGTGCCTCTGTGTCTGTCTGTGCTCTGTGAAAACATCTCTGGTTCCAGGAGATAGCAGTGTATGCCTCCACCAAAAAAAGGGCCTCTGTGGTCAGATGTTCTTGGCGAACACTGCATGCATTTACTCCCTTCCCACCACTTTGAAAATTCCTGATGCATGCTCACATAGGAAGGGCTTGTAGTAAAAACACATCAAAGGGATAGACTCTGCTAAGGATGCCTGAACTCGTCTGGTCACAGTGCCATTTTCTCACACCACTTTTATAGCTCGCTAAGTTAGTGCTCAAAGTGTAGACCAGAGCTAGGGTAATGCCTGTTGTGATGTTAACACTGTTGAGGGTGTCTTTCTGGGAATGTGACACTAAGCACCAAGGGCTCTGCACACTCTATCCTCAAGGTGCTGCTGGCAGGTGAGGTTGGAAACCTGTCCCCAAGGGAGGCTCTGTATACACTATTTTCAAGGTGCTGGCAGGTGAGGTTTGAAACTTCTCTCCAAGTGAGGTTCTGCACAGACTGTCCTCTGGGTGCTGGCAGGTAAGGTTGGAAGCCTGCCCCAGAGGGAGGCTCTGATCACAGTATCTGCAGGGCCATGGGAAAATGGGCTCAGTGCTCCTTCGTGTGTGTTTCTGAGCTCCCAGGCAGTACCTTGAACAACTTCCTCCTATTCTTGGAAAACAGTAAATGTCTTCTTGGCCTGTAGCAGAAGGCAAAAAAGACTCCAGCATGGACCCTGCTCTTTTCTGCCTCCTTTAAGGCGAAGGACACTAAACAGGAGCAGAAAGCATGTTCCTTCCCTCTTTCCCACCTGGTGAGTTGCTTACAATGCATCTTTGATATAAACGGTCCTATAACAACCAGGATGTGAAACCAGGAACTACCCCGCCCCCAAGGCTGCCCCTGTTTCCACACAGGCTGTGCTCCACACAGCTCTGGTGCCTGTGGACTCAGGCTCTCCATCTCTAGGCATTCTACCAAAGATGGCTGGATCTGTGTATATAGTGAGAAGCCTAACTTCTCTGTCAGTTGCACAGTCCTAAGGATCGTATTACTAGAGGCTCCCATTTCCCCCAGCTCTCCCCTCTTCCAGTGTCTTCGGATGTATCATATGACTGCTCTTTCCTCCCCTTCCCTCATGAGCCCAGATGCAGGACCCAGACTCTTGTCCTTCATTTCCCACAAAGCTGCTTTGGTCCAGCACTCACTGGGAGACTGAGGTAGAGATGGGAAGGAAGGAAGGCTACAGATTAGCACAGAAATCGACAGTGTGGAAGGGAGCAACAGGCCCCTCTGGTGTTCTGGCTCTTCCCAGGTCACATGCTTTTCTTCAGGCAGCACCTGACCTGGCTAAGTTTCAGCCCCTCCCATCTTTCCTCCTCACCTCTCCCCACCTCCCCAGCATAGCCTTGAAAATGCATTTCTTTCCTTTTAAAGTTGTGTTTTGTTCTCTCTTTCCTCTCTCAACATTCATTTGCATATTCAGAAACTAATTAAGACCTGCAAAATCAATGATTCTTCACAGTGCTCCAAGGCCAACTTCTCCTCAGGAATTTTATTTTTAATTTTATTTTTGTGCTGTGTTCTAATCATGGGAAAAACCTGAAAATGAGTTTTCTTTTCTTTTTCTTTTCTTTTTCTTTTTTTTTTCTTTTTAACATAACTGCACTCATTGTGGGGCTTCTCATTAATATAAATTATATACCACCCATCCTAGACAGCAGAAATAAGTATCATCCTCTTTGGGTACCCAGAAATCTTCAAGGATATCAAAATCCTCCATCTCAAGTCTCTTATATAAACTGGCTTTATATTTTTCATCACTAGATGACTTATAATGCTTAATGCCATGTAAATGCCTTCTAAATAGTTGGCATTCCATATTGTTTAGGAACTGATAAGGGGACAGAGTCTGTACATGTTCATCATAGACATAATTTGTTTGTTTTTTTGTTGGTTTTTTTTTTTGAAACAGGGTCTCCCTGTAGCCACAGCTGGCCTGGAACTTGATGTGTAGATCAGGCTGGCCTCAATCTCACAGAGATCTGCAGTTTTCTGCCTCTAGAGAGCTGGGATTAAAAGATTGCACCACTGCATCTGGCTAATTTTTAAGAAATATTTTCAGCCTGAGCTTGATTGAATCCATGGTGAAATCCTGTAGACCCAGAGGGCTGATTCTTAATTTCTGTTTGTGCTTGTTTATTTTAAACACTAAGTTCTTCTTAGAGTACACAGGCTGTTGATGGAAGCCAGTACAACTGGGGTGACCATATGTCTTGGCATACATAAAACAGTCCATTTTAGATCCATTGCTGTCACCTGTTAGTCACCTACTAGTGCTACTCCCTTTTTCTATGATGCTTTGGCTCAATGACAAACTAAACAGAAGGGTCACACACACACTAGTTGAAGACTTGACAGCTCTGAGTCTTCCATTGCCAGACAGAGCCCAGGGATTTTCTCCTTCCCAAGCATATGTATGCCTCAACCCCACTAACAATTATTGAAGACCTAAAACAGCTTCCAGGAATCACTTTCACAACTGCTAGCAGTCAGCAGGCAAGAGATATCTAGAAGAACAATGGGAAAAGTATCAGGGAAGAGCAGGGGGTTTACACGACTTTTGGTTAGCATGTAGGGACTGTCCCCATCCATTGTCTGTGTGTGTATTTGTGTGTGTGTGTGTGTGTGTGTGTGTGTGTGTATCAGCTTCTGTATCTGCCTATTTATCTACCCATCCATCAGTCCATCCATCCATCATCTATGTCTGTCTTTCTATAACTTTGTTCTTACAGTCAGTATCCTCTTTATATCTATCTATCTATCTATCTATCTATCTATCTATCGTCTATCTATCGTCTATCTATCTATCTATCTATCTCATCTATCTATCTATCTATCTGTCTGTCTGTCTGTCTGTCTGTCTATCTATCTATCTACCTACCTACCTACTTACCTGGTCATTTGTCTATCATCTATCCATCTTGTATCATCTCAAGCTATATGACAGTTAATAGTTGTGAGAAATATAAGGAAGAACAATCTGAGAATGTTGGAGTTCCTCTTTCACACCAAGGACACTCAGGGTAAGTCACACAGCAAGTTTGAGGCTGAGTAAAGACTTGAACTTATGTCTCAACTCCCACTCCAGACCTTCTCCCTTGTCTTTTCTTCTCTGTCCACCCTGCCAATCTCATCCCATTCCCAAGGTGACAGAATTGTTTCTCTTTCTGGTGCTGATGGAGAATCAAGTCCCAGTTCTGTCCTTGCAAGAGAAGTGACTTGGGACACCTTTCTAAGTGGAGTGTCATCTGTTGAGTTAAGGTTGAATTGTGATAACATGTGTAAGACATTGGACACGCAATGAACAGCAACTATTTGTCATCCTTCCCATGAAGCTCTTCCCATCTGTAGCACATCTCAAGGGTCTTGAAGGCCTGCTCTTCCTTGGGCACTCGTTGGAAGAATGTACCTAAGTTATTCACTCATTTTCAGAGAAGAGCTAATGAACATGTGGTCACAACTGCAGGGCAAGTGGGTGGGAGAGATTTTTAATATCCATGGCAAGGAGACAGACTCTTGAGACTGCCAAGTTCCCTGGGATATCCCACATCCCTTTTCTGGGCATGAATGTCCTCCTCTGCAAAGCTAGGCATTGAACTTGATCTTAGAGGTCTCTACCAGCAAGAGCAGTGTGGTTTTTGCCTTTCCTCCCAGGCTTGTCCTTCTAGGCTATTTATAACAAGTTTCATTGCTCACTAGGAGAAAAGGAAGCAACCCTATTGGAAGAGCTTGGCATTGACTGAAATGCCCATTGAAGGGGTGAATGGGCTTCAAGGTCATACCCTTGCCTATTGGTGAAGATTAAGGAAGGATGCTTGTTTAAGAGGTAGAGAGCTTGATTGGCCCAGGCAGAGCAGCTGCATCCATGGTCTTACTTTACTGAGTGAACAGAGGCCTCAAATTCCAAATGTTCCATCCATGGCTTTGTCCACTGGGCTGTGTGACCTTGGACAATCACTTAGCTTCTCCCAGCCTCATCTACCTCATTTCTGAATCAAAATTGGCAAGAGAGATGAAAAGGGGTAAGAGGCTAGACAGTGCTCAGTCATGCAGGGGCTGGCTTTGGGGATGGTTCTAACAGTTGACTGCCTGTCAGTTAGGAAGCAGGTTCTGCCGCTTGAGAGACTGGAAAGAATGGGGGTATTCACCTTGTTTCAATTTTCTCCAGGGGCAATTTTGTCACTCTTCTACCCAGTTGGAGTACTGGGTAGTGCAAGTCTGGGGACAGCTGAGGGGCTGCTCTTGATATCTGGTGGGGACAAATTAGGGTTACTGAACAGATCACCTTGTTTCAATTTTCTCCAGGGGCAATTTTGTCACTCTTCTACCCAGTGGACTACTGGGTAGTGCAAGTCTGGGGACAGCTGAGGGGCTGCTCTTGGTATCTGGTGGGGACAAATTAGGGTTACTGAACAGTAAGCAAAACAGTCCCTTGTAGTGGCACCAAGACCAAGGCCTTTGGCCTTGGCATTTCAGTCAGAGCCAAGTGCATTGGATGGTGTGTGGATTTTCCAGCACCTGGCACAGTGGCAGCTCCTTAATAGGTATGGGTTGATCCGAGGCCACTGGGAAGCAGGAACTTTCTTGTTCGATGATGTCACTGGACGATCAACACCTAGGGATGGGATGGAAAATCATGGTCAAGATCCGAAAGGTGTGAGAGGCTAGACTGCTTGGCCATGCAGAGGCTCTCTTTGGGAATAGTTCTAGCAGTTGACGGCCTGGCAGCTGGGGAGCGAATGTCCTTGTACACCAGGAGTTCAAGTCCTAAGCTTTGTGGTAGTGATAGAAACCAGGAAAGGAGAGCCCTGTAAGATCCTGGTGCTGGTGGTGGTGTTGCCGAGACCACGCCTCTGCACTCCCCATGTCTCTTCAAAATGTTCTTTCAGATTTTCTACTCACACTGTGGTTCTAATAGGTAGCTCAAGAGCTGGAATTGCCAGTCCTCTCTGATTCTAAGCCTGGGATGGAAAGGTGGCATTGAGGGCATCATGCACTGAAAGCTGGATTGGGTCCCAGAAGAGGGCTCAAGGAGGAAAATACTGACTTTCATAAAATAGGTGTCCTGATCCCACTGTGATGTTACCTCCTAAGGGGGAGCTCTGTGGCCTCTCACTCAGCCTGTCCTCTGGGGACCCTCCACAGGGAGTCTTGACTAGCTGTGTCCTCTGCTGTGTCTTCAGTGGCATAGGCTCTGGGAACTAGGCCAGAATCTCCCGTTGAAACGACTCTTGGTACTTTACTTTGTCCCCTTTCCTATCCCATGGAGGCTCATCCCCAGCACACCCAGAAGGGACTGTAAAGAGTCATCACTCTATCCCCTGCCTACCCTCAGGCCTTTGCCTGGGGTCAGGGTCATCTCCATCCCCCATGCTGCTCTCAAGCCTGTGTAGGACCAGCACTGATTCATGCTTGTTGAATGACTATTTGAGAACACTCATACTCCTATCTTGACCCTACAGATCAAGGATGTCGTGGGTTATAATTCTTTGGGTCACTGTTTCTTCACGGAAGACGGGCCAGAGGAGCGCAACACTTTTGACCACTGCCTCGGCCTCCTTGTTAAGTCAGGGACTCTTCTCCCATCAGACCGGGACAGCAAGATGTGCAAAGTAATCACAGAGGACTCGTACCCAGGGTACATCCCCAAGCCCAGGCAGGACTGCAAGTAAGTGTCTGCATGGCACACCTGTGCTTGGGTTGGGAGGGTGAGGAGGTGAGTGCAGGGCCCCTGAGAAACATCAAGACTTTCACAGCTTGCTGGCACTTCACCTGGCACTTCTGAAAACGAGGGCTTATGGCTAGCTTCTCCCTCCTCCCTTCTCCATTCTCCCTTTTCCTTCCTTCCTCCCCTGTGAACCTCACCAGCAGGATTTTGTGTACAAAGCCTGTGCTTATCTGTGGCTCTATGCTACATAGCCTCCTTGTGGCCAGGAAGCAGCTAGCTCCCACAGTGGGCCCCTCAGTGTGTGCATGTTGGCCTGACCACACTAATCTCTTTCTAGCCATGAGAGAAACACAGAGATAGAAAGAGACACAGACAGGGACAGAGAGACACAGATAGAGACAGAGAGACAGAGACAAAGAGACAGAAATACAGAGAGACATAGAATGAGAGACACAGAGAGACAGAAACACAGACACAGAGAGAAACAAACTGAGAGACACAGAGATAGAAACAGAGACAGAGAGACACAGACAGATAGAACTTCCCATGCAGATGACTTTCTCCCTTGGAAATGGCTGTCTTCCTGGGTTCTTGGACTGCAGGAGGGCTTGGACTTATACTTCTGCTTCTGTAGAAATGCAAACTGTTTTTACCTTTTCCATTTCTAAACACTGCACAGGCTTTGATGCACTACCTTTTAGTGAGAAAATACAACTGCAAATGAATAAATCCCTGACCAGAGACTCTTTAGACCAATAACACTGCCTCACTTGGCCTGTCCACCACTCAACATAAAGCATGCTGGTTGTCCCCAAAAATGACCGTCTCTTTCCCCTTCTTGCAGTGCCGTGTCCACCTTCTGGATGGCGAATCCCAACAACAACCTCATCAACTGTGCAGCTGCGGGGTCAGAGGTGAGCAGAAATAACCAAAGTAGAGCCGTCAGAGGCTGCCCTGGAAACTCGTGTCCTGAGCTCAAGACCACCCATCTGTGCAGACTAGAGATGGGGAGGGGGTCTTATGCCTTGGTTTTAAATGACAGTTCTGTCACTTCATAGTACTCGGTGACCAGAGCTAATGAGTAGACTTTTTTGACCTTGTGGCTTAAGGGACTACAGTCCTTTGGGATAGGGAAAACCTAGCAGCAGGAGTGACTTTCTCTCATCCGAGGAGATCTGTCCAACAGAAAGAACAAGAAATAGGGTTAATCTATCACCCTCAAGTCCCTCCCCCTGTGACCCACTTGCTCCAATTAAGTTCCATCTCCTAAAAGTTTCACAACCTCCTAAAATAGTGCTACTATCTCTGGAGACCAAGCACTCAAGCACATGAGCCTGTGGGGGACATGTCACAGCCAACCATCCCAGAGTACTAAGCAACTTACATAGAATAACTCATTGTAGTATGAGTTATTTTACCTTAGCATGGTGCCTGGTACATCAGTGTTATAAACTGACACCATCTGATTCTGGCATCAAGGCTATGACCTGGATGTTGTTAGTACTCCAGCTAATTGGGGAGGAAACTAAAGCAGGAAGAGGTAGTGTGTCCAGAAGTACATGCAGCTGGGCAGTGGCAGCCAGGATACAAGCATCGCTTTCTACCTCCACAGCCTTGCTCTGACTCAGCGCTCTGCTGTTGGCATTGCCTGGGGCCTTGACCCTGACCCTGTCTGTTGCTCTTTCTGGACTTCAGCTTCCATATCTAGAGGGAAAGCTGGGAATTGTGCTCAGTGAGCCTGCTTGTTATACATCAGAGGAGTCTAACCTCATTAGAGACCCTTTAATTTAGACAGTGACCCATAGAACAGGACTAATGCTGTCAGGTGAACCCCACAAATGGCATTCACCTCAAGCTTTCCACTGTTTCATTCCAAGTACTGGACCACATGGGGATGTGTTTGGAGGGCTGTGGTAAGGACCTATTCAGGTTGGATACTGCATCCACTCCCACAGCCTGGACTACTAGGTCACCCTATCCAGGAGCTCACTGGCACTGACTGCTGTGGCTTTCTCCTGTGCTCTATCCCAACAGGAAACTGGATTTTGGTTCATTTTTCACCATGTGCCAACAGGCCCTTCTGTGGGAATGTATTCCCCAGGTTATTCCGAACACATTCCCCTGGGAAAATTCTATAACAACCGAGCACATTCCAACTATCGGGTAAGTCTAAATTGCATCTCCCTGTCAGCCTGTCCATTCCCCTGCCCTGGCCTACAGATTATTAGAGCAGGGAACAACTACAGTGTTAGTGCAGGTCTAGAGCAGCCTTCCAAAGCCCACAGGTCATTGACCATTCACCATGACTCACCTGTGAGGCCCTGCTTCACCATCCATAGCACCCACACAGCAGAAGGAGCAAGGTGCACCCGAACTCTAGTTTCCCCTCCTGTGGGCTGGTGGGATGGACACCTGACTGATGTTGTGATTCAACTGTGGGAATGTTGACTATGGAAAGTTAGGCTGGCCCATGAACTAAGAGAAGTCGGGGCATCGTTCCAAAGGAAGGTGGAGGTGGTGTTGCATCCTGGCCTTTCTCTCTTCTTGCCGGGAAGAGGGTAGTTTCGTCTAAGTCAGCAGGCTCCTTGACCACCTTTATTCATTCCTGCATCTTTCTCAAGCACCCATGTGGGTCCCACTCCAAGGTGTGGTCAAAAGAGGGCAGTACAAGGTGACTAGGACTTCAATCTGTCAAAGACCTTCCCACAGGGACAACAGTTAAGACCAGAGCTATGGGACATGGCAAGAGAGCTTGGGGAAAGGCTGAGATCAGAGGTGCCACTCTGTAGATCTACGTGGTCTTTAGGACACTTGGGTGGTACATAAATAGGCTGGTGTCTGGTCCAGTTCCTGATGGTCCAGACAAGGAAACTACAGCTCCCAGAGAGGAATGGATACATCCAGGGTGAAAGACATATTTCAGAGGTCTGGGGAGATGGCTCAGAGGTTATAGTACTTGCTGTACAGCATGAAGATGAGCATATGTCTGTAACCCCATTGCTGGGGAGTGGGGCGGCAGAGACAGGCAGATCCCCAAAGGCTCACTGGCCATATAGTCTAGCTCCAGGTTCAGTGAGAGACTCTGTATCAAAATAACAATGATAATAATAATGTGAAATGATAGAGGAAGTCACCCATCATGGATTCCTAACCTCTACATGCAGAGAGAAAGAGAGGAAGAGGGAGAGGGAGAGGGAGAGGGAGAGGGAGAGGGAGAGAGAGAGAGAGAGAGAATTTCCAAATGCTTAACCAGGGAGAAGACTGAAAATGATATGCAGACTCAGTAGACCTTTCCAAAACCTGGGTATGAGGAATAGGGCCGGTGAGGAAGACAGGGAAGTGAGGAGCAGAGAGAGGAGACTCCTGCAGTATCATATCCCAGAGAATAAACAGGGGAACAATTTCAGGGACAATGGCCAAAGCGTGGAGGGAAGTTTGTGGATGAAGGAGCTGCTAATGGGGCACTCTGAGGCCACCATGGGTGTCATGGCTGTCCCCATGCAAAGGCAGGTGCTGAGACCATATCCATGATGTGTACAGGAGAGAGAATGCATTGGCCTCTTGTTAGGATATGCCCTTCCCTAGACCCTCAAGAAGACTTCCCACTAGCTGAGACCATATCCATGATGTGTACAGGAGAGAGAATGCATTGGCCTCTTGTTAGGACATGCCCTTCCCTAGACCCTCAAGAAGACTTCCCACTAGCAAGGAATGGCCCATAGGATCCGTGGCATGGGAGGATGGAAAGGGGAGGAATGGACAGCAGCCTCCATTCCCACCTACTTCATGTCTGAAAAGTAGTCTGCTCTGGCACCAAACAAAGAAACCAGGCTCAGGGCTGGGGCTGTAGATCAGTTGGTAGAGTGTTTTTCTGGCATGCTTAAAGCCCTGAGTTTGATCTGCAGCACCCCATACAAACTAGGCATGATGATATATACCTATAATTCTAGTTCTCTAGAGGCTGAGGCAGTAGAATCATAAGTTCAAGGTCATTCTTGGCTACATAGCAAGTTCAAGGCCAGCCTGGGCTACATGAGACCTTATCTCAAAAAAAATACTTTATTAAAAAAAAAAAAGAAAGCCAGCTTTCTCTTCAAGTCAAGCAGGAGCTTGGATAGGAAGTCTCTGACAAGTTTGGCATTCCTTTTCAATGTCTGTGACACATTTCCCAAGAGTGTGCACTCATAGTCCTTGATTTGGGGGGTCTAGAATAACAGCTATCTAATGTGGCATGCATTCTGTGCATAGACTTGGCTATGTGACTTCAGGTTAGACACTCTAAGACCCCAGTTACCTCATACATTTCCAAAAGGACAGATTTGACTAGAGTGGTGTGGAATGAAGCAGGCTCTTCCCTTACTCACTGTGGACCCTATTTCCATGGACATAGCCTGCAAATCATGCCAGGTTTACTGGTACATTCAAAAGCATGTGCCCAGACTGGTGTGAGAAGATGGCTATAGGCAGCACTAGCAGCTAACATGACCCTGGATGTCCCCTCTCCTCAGGCTGGCATGATAATAGACAATGGAGTCAAGACCACCGAGGCCTCAGCCAAGGACAAGCGGCCCTTCCTCTCCATTATCTCGGCCAGGTATTGACCCCTGGGGAGACGTGGTCCATGGGCCCTCTCAGATGACTTTCGCTCCTCTGCGTCATTCATGTGCTCCTTTACCAAGATGCTATCATGTCTTTTTAACTGGGCATTGAGCCACTTACTGAGGTATGGTACTGTGGCAGAAGTCTAGGCAAAGTCTGAGTTAAAGTCCATGCTTCAGTAGCCAAAGGAAGACCAAAATTCCTCAGTTTCCAGATCCCTCAGCAAAGCCAGTGTGGGTAAGTAAGGAAAGGTTAGAGCCCTTGGCAGGCTGAGCTGGGATATGAAGATCATGAGGAAGGAAGTGTTCACTGCCACTTTAATGATAAGACACATGCCAGCCAGACTGATAAGTCAAGCCAGAGCTCTCCTGAAGGCCAGAAGTTGCTTTTAAAAAGGTGTTGTCAATGAAGGTGTATGCCTTTAATTCCAGCACTTGGGAGGCAGAAGCAGGCAGATTTCTGAGTTTCAGGTCGCCTAGAGCTATATAATGAAGCTCTGTTTCTTAAAAAAAAAAGGTCAAAACTTCAAGGTGTCATTAGCAAAATTGAAACCCCTTCTAAAGGGACTAAATGGCTTGGTCTCCATCAAAAGTGGGTGACTTTAACATCATCATGTCCACAGGAGACTGTAAGGACCCAATGTCAAAGGGCATGCCAGTTCAGTCCTCCATTTTGTAGGTAAGAGGTGTCCAGGAAAGGCGTGAGTTCAAGATTAGTGGGAGAGCCTAATGTCTCCAGATTCTCCCTCTAGGCAACCTGAATGCTAGCTCTCTGAGCTTTCTGATTTGATTCCACTTGGTTCAAATCACACATCTCCTGCCATGGTTGGATCCTAAAGGTATAGTCAGCCTCCTGCATCTGGGAAGAGCTCCGAGAGTTCACACCATGCAGATAGGTGTCTGTTGAATTAAGGATGTCTGGGGTCTTGTGAGTGGAGAGAAGCTCACCGAGCCCAGAATGAACAGCACCTGTGCCCTCCCATGCTCCAGGTACAGCCCTCACCAGGACGCTGACCCACTGAAGCCTCGGGAGCCCGCCATCATCCGCCACTTCACCGCTTACAAGAACCAAGACCATGGGGCCTGGCTACGAGGTGGAGATGTGTGGCTGGACAGCTGCCGGTGAGTTGGGAAAGGTGGGTGGGACTGCTACAATGAAGGCCTGATGCTCCTCCCCCCAGAGAAGCAAGGCAGAGAGGATTCTAAGCATGTTGACCGTTGGCTTTCTGCTTTCCCAGACAGGCAGGGGGGCATAGGGTAGCAGTGGACACTGGCTGGTGGGGGTGGGAGAACCCCACAGCCTAAAAGCAGCATTTCAGCATCACCCACAGTGCTGGTGCTGTGGGCCACTCACAGGGCTTCTCTCTCTCATGGTCACTTGGCTGGCAGGAAGGGAAGAGTAAAGAAGTCAGCAGTACTAGACACCCACTCAACATCAAAGTTTTGGTTACATTTCTTTCTTGCTGTGTTTCTCAAGGACACAAATTCCTAGCTCCACTTTGAGATGGTAAACTGGGGTTCAGTTATTGAGTGTCTCACGGCTAGGGAGTGGTTGAACAGAAGCTTGATGTGCCAGGCTGCTAGACTCCAAGCCCAATTAAAAGGGCCAAGAACACCAAGTTCTGATGTGAGGTCCCCAGAAGTCTGATGGCAGGTGTGAGGCAACAAGGAAAACTATGAAACCCCCTGCCAATGGGTGTGTATCTTTTAACCTTCCACCAGACACACTCCAAGGAAGCCCAGAGTCTGACTGGTATCAGGGTTGTGGTCCCACAAGTGGACAGAGCTGGCATGGTCAAGAGCTGACAAAAGATGGGGGTCTCTTCCAGGACTTTGGGTATTTGGCCAAATACAGCTGTTCTGGGGGACCTGTCTAGAACCCCTGGATCCAAGTAAGGATGGTACGGTACTTCTGGAGGTGGGAAGCAGAAAGCAAGCTAGAATACCACTGCACTAGGCCAGATGGGAAAGGATCATAGAGAAAGAGAATGGCTAAATACAAGCCTTCAGCATAGGTGTAGGTTAGTCACTGTTTTTAGACATGTTGAAGTAGAGATACTTGTGAAATAATTCAGTGGAGATGCCCCAAATCTTTCAAAAAGTAGACAGGATGAGTGGCTGATTTTAGAGTCACCAATGGATGGGTGGAGAGGGAAGCTGAGAGACTGTGTGGTCCCAGGGTCGTAGTGGAGCAGGAAGGGACCATGGCAAAGCAGGGGAGACAGCAGTAATGAGGAAAAGCTGGAGATGGGGCTAGAAAAGAACTAGAGAGCCTGAAACCCTAGCTGAACCTTGATTGGTTGATTTGAATGGATGGCCGGGGGGTGGGGGATATTGCACGAGTGTGCTTTCTGAAAGGGAGCTGAGTGTGGGGTGTGTCGGGAACTAAAGAGTTTCTTGACAACAGGATCAGCCCACTGTGGCTGATACAGAGGGAGCAGGGCCTGACTTGAGCCTTCACTGACAGGGAAAGACTTGGGCTTGAGCTTATAGGGGACACTGGAGATTTAAGAAGCAGAAAATGGTGGGTGAGACTTGCAGCTCAAGAGATGAGCCCCTTGGAGTGTACAGAACAGGTAACAGAGCAGAGGGACAGAAGAAATGAAGGCAGCATAGACCCAAGTCTGGCTCTGTGCAGTCCTTCATGAGGCAGGAGTAGCCACCTCGAGAAAACTGCTCATACCACCCCTTAAAAGGGCAGAGTTACAAGGGTCACTCTCACGATGGGTACATGCTGCCATTGCAAAACTCCTTTTTGCTCTTGCCAGGGATGGCACCTGTCTGACTCCTGGGAAACTTGGAAATTTGCTATCTGAACTTGTTACTGTGGCTGAAATTGTAGTGAGGATGGCAAATTAGAATAAATAGTGCCCACATAGCCCACCTTCAGCTGGTACCATTCGGAAGTCTGGGAAGACCTTCCCAGTTCTGATCAACCCCACAGGCTGGCAAGAGAGGTTTGTGGAGTCCAGCCCTCATGAGGTTGATGCAATGTCCTCCCAAATCCCAAGAGCCACAGAGTTACTGAGACAGTGTGGGAGAGGACCGGAATACCCATTTTCTGTGTGGAATGGAGAGTTATAATTGCTTCAGCAAAGACTCCTCCCACAATGTCCACAGTTTGACTCCAGGGACAGAGAAGGGCCCTTCCTTCCACAGTCTCACTAACTATGGAGCGAGAGTATGCTCTGACTATCTGTTCTTATCTCCAGGTTTGCTGACAATGGCATTGGCCTGACCTTAGCCAGGTAAGAGCACCTGTCATTGTGCTTGGCCTTCTGTGGGAGCTTGTCTCTGGACAGTTCATGCCCAACATCTCCTCTCTACAGTGGTGGAACCTTTCCCTATGATGATGGCTCCAAGCAGGAGATAAAGAACAGCTTGTTTGTTGGTGAGAGCGGCAATGTGGGCACAGAAATGATGGACAACAGGATCTGGGGCCCAGGCGGCTTGGACCACAGTGGAAGGACACTCCCTATAGGCCAGTAGGTTTGCAACAGTGGGAATTGCCCCCTTTTGTGTGACAACCTGAGTGACATCCATGAAAGGAAAGAAGTTAGTGGGTGACTTCTATATGTTGACTATAGATTTTTTTTCATTCTATCAATTTGTGAAATGAATTGGTTGAGACCCACAATGAGGATGAAATTTGTAATGGAGAGAGAGAAGTAAAAACATAGTATAGACACACCAACAGGTACACAGCCATCAAATGTATAATATGGTTCTAGTCTATGCTCGGAGGAACAGGGTATCCAGGATGAGTCCCTATCTTCTCTAACTGCAGCTTACTTGGAGTTTTTCATTCACTTCTGAGTGACAGTCAGGCCAAAGCACACTTAAGCATGATAACTAAAGGTGATCAAACTCAGAGTCACACCTCACAAAGACTGGAATCTTACGCCAGGAGACAGAGCATCCTTGTGGGGGCATAGGGTACACATCTCAGGGCTGCATTGTGTACAAGAGACAAGGCTTATTCTACTCAGGCCCTACAGATTAGAATTGTTTAAGTCATCTCTTCAGGGAAATATGGTTCCTGCTTCTAGAGTCAGTGCACAAAGCATTCAAACTGAAAATTTCAACCTTCCTCAGGAACCACACATAACTACGGGAAGTCTAGTGGAAGACTAGGGACAGCTGGGGACAGCCTCTCCCTGGGGACAGATCCCTTATATGCTTCCTTTTCCTCCTTTATGCCCTTTCTTTTTAAAATGTTCCCTGTGGAAGAGAAGGGAAGGGCCCAAGCCAGAGGCAGAACCATTGGTGTAAGCAAACATGTTCGGGATAGAGAATGACAAGCCTGGATTTGTGGTCAGACCCAAGAAAGGCACCAAGAAGCCCAGCCAATTGCTCATGGGCCTTCCCTTCCCCTTCCCTGCCCAGGAATCTGGGAGAAGTTCCCCCGAGCCTCCTTCTGTCTGCCAGGCCAGGGCAAAGCTTCTATGTTAGTGCCCTTCCCTTGTCCCTCGGTGTCTACAAGCTGCCACGTCTTCCCACTTCCTTCCTGCTGCCTCCCAGGTTGTCAGGCGTCACTGGGCTTGCTTTTCTAGCAAAGGCTGCCTTTACCTTTGGCAATGCTCAAAAAGTTGAATTATGATTATTTTGACTACTGTACATTCTATGTATTTGTTTCTCTGTGCTTCCCAAAGCCAGCATGGTGCCTGTCAATTGGCTTACTCACAGAGGAAACTCATCTGATCAAGTTACTGTAACAACAAAAACTAGGGTGATAATGACTAACAGTGTTCCCCTCCCCAAAGACAGAATGTTGGCATTCTCTGTGAGTATTTACAGTATTTGCCCAATGACTCGACACATGATGGGAAGATTAGAGAAACTGTCTCAATAGAGGGCCCCAAGCCAGCAACTAGATAGATAGCTGTTTACCATCCATCCAACTATAACATCTATTCACCCATCCACCCACCATCTCTCATCTATCCATCTATTCACCATCCATCTGCCCATCTACCCATTATCTAGCATCCATTTATCCATCATCCAGCATCCACCTACTCATCAGTCCACTCCAATCTATCCATGCATTCATCCACCCTCCATCCATCTACCAATCATCCATCTAACCAATACATTCACCCATCAGCCATCAGCCATCTATACAGACATTCAGCCAACAATCATTCCTTTGTTGACACTGTACCCACATATGCCTTCCCAATGAGGTAACTGAGTTATTAACAATTTTCAGTAGAAGTAATTGCTGGAGATGGGGATCTGGAATGGCTTTACCCAGAAAACCTCTTATCATCCAACTCTGAAGAAATAAATATGGCATTCACCTGACATCTGACTTCCTTAAATCCACAGAAATTTTCCAATTAGAGGAATTCAGTTCTACGATGGCCCTATCAACATCCAGAACTGCACCTTCCGCAAGTTCGCAGCCCTGGAGGGTCGGCACACCAGTGCCCTGGCCTTCCGCCTAAACAATGCCTGGCAAAGCTGCCCCCACAACAATGTGACCAGCATTGCCTTTGAGGACGTACCGGTGAGTGAAGCACCAGGCCAGGCTCCTGGCATAACCAGGCTTTGAACGATGACTCACAAGTCCCCCAGAGCTTGGAGATTGAGTCGTTGCCACCACCACAGGGTGGAACAGCCTCCTCCAAGTAGGCTTCACTGTGTTGCAGTTTGCTCTGGGTCCAAACTGGAAAAGTACAAGCCTAGGTCGCCCCACAGGTCAAGTCTGGGTTAAGGCCTGCTGGCCCTCACCCCATGCCTCGGTGGGAAACCTCACAATGAACTCAGAGTTGAGGCTGATCTCCAAGGCCTTGACATACTGGATGTTGTGACAGGGCCACCTGAGTTGGCACAAATCATCTCACAATCCCAGCAGTGTTCAAAGAAATTCTCCAGAAGATGTTCTGTTTAATCTCCTCCTGAGGGTAGAATGTAAACAGGGGCCTCCTGGCTGTAGACAGAGGTGGGGAAAGAGGAGCTGAGGGTCAGGAGGGCAGGCCAGGGTTGTCTGTGAGACCTGCTACTGTCACTGTCTATGGGCTGGGTCTCCCAAGCCTTTCCCTCCTTGGGCTCCTCCTTGTCCTCCTCCTCTTCCTTCTTGTCCTCCTCCTCCTCTTCATCCTCATCTTCCTCCTTGTCCTCCCCCTCCTTCTCCTCCTCTTCTTCCTCCTTCTCCTCTTCCTCCTCTTCCTCTTTCTGCTGGCTGCCCTTTGCCTGTCTGCACAGTCACTGTCAGGTTGAATGACAAGATGTGAAACTTAAGTTACTTAATTTCTTCACTCAAACCACCGAGGGCCTGAAGTAGGTCAGTCACAGAAATCTCCAAGGGCTTGTGCTGCAAGGCTGCCTTCCTTCCCCTCACACACATATCCCCCCTACACACCACATGTATATACTTTTTCATACAAACACTCACCTCCCCCCGCAGCTCCCATCTCATTTGCCCAAACACTCACACTCATTCCTAAACTTCTCTTCTCTTCTCTGTGCCTGTGTTATACCAGTCTCCAAGGCTACCCACAGTAGCCAAACCTATGGTGAGCAGAGGCCAAAACTGTACACTGGCCCTTGGAGTTGAGGCATGGTGCCCCTCTGACTGCCTTTCTGGCTCCTTTGGAGAGGTCAGACTGGTTAGCACTCAGTCTGGCTGCTTTGGAATGTCAGCGGAAATTGGAAACTTCGCCCTGGTCGGATGACGGCTGCACTTTCCCTTTACCTTCTGGCTCAGTGTAATTTTCCTGGGCTCTGTTCAGATTACTTCCAGAGTATTCTTCGGAGAGCCCGGGCCCTGGTTCAACCAACTGGACATGGATGGGGATAAGACATCTGTGTTCCATGATGTGGATGGCTCTGTATCTGAGTACCCTGGCTCCTACCTCACCAAGGATGACAACTGGCTGGTTCGACACCCGGACTGCATCAATGTCCCTGACTGGAGAGGGACCATCTGCAGTGGGCGCTATGCACAGGTGAGAAACTACCCTGAGTCAGTCACTTGCTAGCTCACTCAATTCTATGGCAAGGACTCAGTGAGAGCCTGCTGACTGTCCAGCTATGCACTGGGCCAGAAAGAGATGTAGAATTTCCTTCCCCTCTTTCTGTGCCTCTAAACCACATCCAAGAGGATATTCACAAAGTCAAAACACTTTATAGCAGAATACTCCAAGTCAGGTTCCAGAAGTCACTAACCGTTGGCCTTCAACTTGTTAACTTATACTCTTGGCGCCTCAACTTTGTTATCTGTGAACTCAGGATAATAGTTTAACTTCCTGGGGCTGGAGAGATGGCTCAGTGGATAAGAACACTGGCTGTTCTTGCAGAAGACCCGGGCTTGAATCCCAGCACCCACATGGCAGCTAACAACTGTCCATAACTACAGTTCCAGGGGATCCAACAGTCTCTCTGTCCTCCGAGGGCATTGCATGACACGAATGCACTTACCTACATGCAGGCAATACACACATATACATAAAATAAGAATAATAAAATATAAAAAATAACTTCCTGGATATTTTAGTAGCTTCTGATGACATAAATAAACGCCTTTCTTCTGTCCCTTCTTTGTAATAGGAATGTAAACACAAGCCATAACTTTTCTAGTAGTCTTGTTAAAAAGTGAAAAGAAATAAGACAAATTAGTTCAATGATATTTTATTAATATATATGTAATATACATAATATTCAAAATACTATTCTTTTGGGGGCTGGAGAGATAGCTCAATGGTTCAGAGCACTGGCTACTCTTGCAGAGGACCCAGGTTTGAGTCTCAGCCGCTACTCCAGTTCCAGGGGAATCTGATTCTCTCTTCTGACCACAGGCATTGTACATGGGTGCACTTACATACATGCAGGTAATAATACTCAGACATACAAAATTTTAAAGTAAATAAAAAATATTTTAAAAAGGCAAAAAAATATACTATCCTTTCAAGTGGTAGTCAATACAGAAATTATTAATGAACCCAGGTGTTGTGGAGCATACCTTTAATCCCAGTGCTTAGAAGGCAGAGATCTGTGAGATTGAGGCCAGCCTGGTTTACATAGTGAGTTCTAGGCCAACCGGGGTTACAAAGTGAGACTCTGTCTCAACCTCCTCCCCAAAAGAGAGAGAAATTAATGAAATTTTTTTTCTGTTCAGAGATGTCAAACTTGAGCATATATTTTATATTTCTAGCCTACTTCTTTTGAAATGTCAGTTCACAACAAAGTGCCATACCTACCAAAATAATCAAATTGGTTTAATAGGAAAAATATTTTTCACTACTTTTGTTTTGAAATTTAAATTAGTTGTAATAACATTTTAAGAGGGCTGGAGAGATGGCTCAGCAGTTAAGAGCACTGACTGCTCTTACAGATGACCCAGGTTCGATTCCTAGCACCCATGTGGTGGCTATGAATCTTCCTTAACTACAGTTCCAGGGGAATCCAATGCCCTCGTCTGACCTCCGTGGCACTGCATGACATGGGTACACTCACATACATTCAGGCAACACACTCATACACATAAAATAAAAATAATAAAATGTTAAAAAAAAAAAAGAAATAGCATTTTAAAACTGGTTCCTGAACCACCCTGTCCTTATGTCCAGGACTCAGTGTCCACCACAGGAAACAGTGCTAGACAATGACTGGAGTGGACAAACTTGAAGAATTAGTCATGACCTTGTGATTGTTACTACCATTATTTGGATGGATGATGGATGAATGAGTGAAGGGTCACATACATTCAGGCAACACACTCATACACATAAAATAAAAATAATAAAATGTTAAAAAAAAAAAAGAAATAGCATTTTAAAACTGGTTCCTGAACCACCCTGTCCTTATGTCCAGGACTCAGTGTCCACCACAGGAAACAGTGCTAGACAATGACTGGAGTGGACAAACTTGAAGAATTAGTCATGACCTTATGATTGTTACTACCATTATTTGGATGGATGATGGATGAATGAGTGAAGGAAGAGAGCCCGAGAAAACAGTCAGATTAGGAGGGAAGCATGGGGGGCCAGA